GAAATACGAGCCCTGCTCATGAGTAAATTCAAAGAGTTATAGAGGTACCTGTTGACATTCTCGTCTCGTTCGTTCCTTGCTGCCTGAGTGAGCTTCGACGACGTCTCCAACAATGATGTGATGTCCAATAACCCTGTAGGAGCCTCCACCACTTCATCATATCCTGGATACTCTGGCGCCTCCCGGGAGAGCATATATTGTGTGAGTAAGTTGCCGAAGAAGAACCTCTTAATCTGCCACCCAAATCTCGTGCGGGCCATCTCATCGAGCATAATCTCACCCACATTAATGGGTCTGGCAGTCATCAAAAAGAATATGACACATTATAGCTCGAGTGCAGTCACTATTGTGCTCCATTGGCATGAGTCTGACTTGCACAAAATTCTGCCACACCTTGGCAGTCTTGTTGAAATCAGAGCGAACCATCGAAAGGTGAATATCGCCTTGCTTCCTAGTCCACTTATCATTTGAATCCACGCTACAAAGAGTGTGACATATCAATGTGTATTTTGGGCTTCTATTTGAATCGACGCCACAAAAAGTGTGACATATCAATGTGTATTTTGGGCTTTTGACAAATTTCTAGAGCCTCCTCGGGTCAGCATTCTCAACCCCTAAAAACTCACATAAGGCCTGCCTATCTAATGGCATGTTCTCCCCACGTACATGTGACATAAAAAAATTGTAATTCCAGTTGGCGTACAATTCCCGAACCATGCTCAAATTTGTATGTCCGGGGTATTCTATGAGTTTGTCCATGTTTAATGCGAGCAATTTGAGGTGTTTTTATGTATAAGAATGATCTGGGAGCAATTGGGGGCGAAAGGTTCGAGATTAGAGCCAAAACGGGCGAAAAAAAGGAAAAGTGACATTTTTAGCACCACATACAGCGCCCCATGCTACATGTGGCGCCAGAGGCAGTGTGGGCTGGGCGCTGGTGACGGAATTTTTGTCCAACTTTGCTCGGTACAAGATTATTTCGGCCCTAGACCTACCCAACAAGTATAAAAGCAAGACTAAACTTATTTTTAGGGGAGGCCACTTTGAAGAGGATTTACACACGGGAAACATTCGGGAGCAAGAATATCTCAGATTTCTTCCTCTTTTCTTAGTACTTTCAATTATCCAACACTTATGAATTTGTTTGATACTATCATGAGTGGCTAAAAACCCATAGTTCTGGGGTTGTGATTTAGCCATGAATATTGTTGTTCAACGTTGACTTAACCTTGATTTCAATTCACTAATATATGGTTGTTTCTTCAATTCTATGATTAATTGCTTAATTGTCTGGCCAGCAGTTAGGTTCTATTTACTATCTATGCTATGCTTGGGAAAGCCATGTTTAGATTAGAGAAGAATTCAAGAGAGCACGATCTTAACTCTTAGGGGGTAGATTTGTGGTTAGGATAGGAATATACCTAGTCACCGTGCTTAATTAAATATCGTAATCTTAATGCGTTCTTAATAGATTGACTCCATAGGAATATAGGTGTTAATCTATTTTGAATAGGCGAGTAGTACTTCGGGAGAAGGCTATGAGAGCAATTACCGATTAATTAGCAACAATGAGTGAATTGTATGAAAGGGAGAGTGAACTAGAACTCAATAGGATTGGTGAATCGATCACAACCCTGGAATATTTGTCTCTATTGAATACATAACAATCATTTTACTGCTTGATAATTTAGTTACTACTTAGAATTATAGTTTAGTATAATCACATTCTTGAACTCGAATTTGGCTTGACTGAATAACAATCTTGGTGAATTTAGTGGGTAGTTGATACAAGTCTCCGTGGGTTCGACACTCGACTTATCATTTTATTATTTATTTATTCATTTATTTTTATTTTTTATGGGCAGTATGTCTCCGAGATGGGGATAAATGTCAAAGCTTTGGAACGAAACTTCCCAGATGTCCTTGGCCGGTTGCGCGCATTAAACATGGACAAACTCATAGGATGCCCCGGGCATACAAATTTGAGCATGGTTCGGGAATTGTACGCCAACTGGAATTATAAATTGTCTATGTCACATGTACGTGGGAAGGACATGCCATTGGATAGGCGGGCCTTATGTGAGTTTTAGGGGTTGAGAATGCTGACCCGAGGAGGCTCCAGAACTTTGTCAGAACAAAATACATATTGATATGTCACTCTCCGTGGCGTGGATTCAAATGCTAAGTGGACCAAGAAGCAAGGCGATATTCACCTTTCGATGGTTCGCTCTGATTTTAACAAGACTGCCAAGGTGTGGCAGAATTTTGTGCAAGCCAAACTCATGCCAGTGGAGCACGAGATTTGGGTGGCAGATTAAGAGGTTCTTCTTCGGCAAATTACTCACACAATATATGCTCTCCCAGGAGGCGCCAGGGTATCCAGGATGATAAAGTGGTGGAGGCTCCTACAGGGTTATTGGACATCACATCATTGTTGGAGACGTCATCGAAGCTCACTCAAGCAGCAAGGAACGAACGAGACAAGAACTTAAACAGGTACCTCTATAACTCTTTGAATTTACTCATGAGCAAGGCTGGTATTTCAGACGAGGAGCGTATGAATTTACGCAATGACTTGTCGAGCTCATCCAAGGAGATGTTGGGGATTGCACCTGGCAACCCCGTTCACTCGTCGGAGGACGCAAACACTATCAAGGGCTCAGACACGGAGGACGAGGTTGGTAATGATGTTACGGGGCCCCTGGTTTTGGTGCCTCTAGGACCTGATGATGATGTGGACGGAGTTGCTGATGGATGGCACGCTGAAGAGGAGGACTCCGACTGACAGGGAGTTTTTCTTTTCACCCTACTCTGTTTTACATTTTTATATGCATCGAAGACTATGCATAGACTAAGTGTGGGGTGGGAGGAATACTACTTGTGATGTAGTTTGTATATCTTGTATCAATTTGTTTCTTTCATTAGTTTTAATATGTTTATTTTATTAGTTTTACTTAGTCAGTTTTAGTTTAGTTTGTTTTAGAAAAGAAAAAAATAACAACAACAACCCAGTAAAATCCCACAAATGGGGTCAAAAGAAAAAAATATAAAAATACAAAAAAATAGAAAAAGCTTGGACTTTTCCCGATGATGGATCTTTTGGACAACTTTCTTGAGGGATAAAGTCCGATTAAAAACACCAATGACATTGTGAATTTCATTCACAAGTGTACTATCTTTCAGAGAAACAAGTACGATATTGTTGCTTCTCCTGGCCTTTTGCAGCCTCTACCTATCCCTGCTCTTCCTTGGACTTACATTAATATGGACTTCATTGAGGGCTTACCTAAGTCTAAAGGGAAGTCACTCAGTTGGGTAATCATTGATCGGCTAACCAAACATGCTCACTTCCTTGCCTTATCTCACCCCTACACAGCCCAATCTTAAGTCCCTAATTTCTTAGATAACATTTTCAAGCTTCATGGTTATGGTTTCCCAGCTACAATCACAAGTGATTGGGACCCCATCTTTATCAGCACCTTCTAGAAGGAATTCCTTACTGCTCAGGGTGTTACTTTACAAACTTCCAGTACTTATCACCCACAAACAGATGATCAGAGGTGCTTAATCGTTGCTTAGAGACATACCTACGCTGCTTCTGCACAGATTCACCTGCAGACTGGTCACTCTGCCATTCAAACCTCCCCTTTTGAACTCTTATATGGGTACCCTCCTCCTCTTCATCTTCCATATTTACAAGGTGATTCTGCTTCTACTTCTATTGAAGAGGTTGCACTGCTTCGCGAATTCAAACTTCAGCTAGCCAAATTCCACCTTACTCGAGACCAACAAAGAATGCAAGCCCATGCTAATGCCCATAGGTCTGATAAACAGTTCAAAGTGGGGGATTGGGTCTTCATCAAACTCCAACCTTATAGACAGTCCACACTCTCTCCCTTCCCTTATCACAAGCTCACTTTGAGATACTTTAGTCCCTACCCTATTGTTGAAAAGATAGGTGCAGTAGCCTATAAACTCCTCCTTCCTCCTGAGATCTTATTGCATCCTACATTTCATGTGTGTCAACTGAAATTTTGTTATCAAATTCCTTCCACCATTATTCACCCTCCTGTTGTTAATCTAGCCAGCCAATATTGCCCCTCTCCCGAAGCTGTTCTTGATCGCAGATTAGTTAAACGAGGTAATAGGGTTGTAGCTTAGTGCTTGATTAAATGGACAGGCTTAGATTCTTCTTATGCAACCTGGGAGTTGGCCTCTGCTTTGAAAGCTCGATTTCCTTCCTTCACCCTTGAGGACAAGGGTGTTGTTCATCCGGGGGTATTGATACGAATATTAGTGGCTAAGGGTGGAACCATTTGAATTTTAGTTGATCTAAAGTGGCGGGAAAAATAGTTAGCAGTTTTATTTCAAATTCTGTAATTCCTTTTGTTGTATTTCAAATTCCAACACTTATAAATAGAGCATAGCATTTGTAATTCACACAATTATCATGTTATAAGAAAATCTGAGTTCTTCTCACTCTCCTTTCTCTCTATCTCTATTTCATTCTCTTCTCTTGTACCTCTTTTCTCTTCTTTTTGTTACTGTTTCATTGGTTTATCAACTGATACTCTACAATTGAGTATCACCGGATGATTGTGACCACCAAGTATCTGAAGACGAAAATCATTCAGACAAACTGGAGTAAGAATTTGTTTTAAGAATACTTTATCTGTGCTGGATAGTGTTGATTGTCACTTGACCTTTGCTTACTATACCTACAGAGTAACCAAAGCTGAGACAAGATACTACCTCTAGGATCTAGAAGAACTTCACTAGGTCCAATAGCCCTTTAGGAGGAATACTATCATGAACAATACATGACAAACCGAAGAACCAAAAACCTAATCTACAAGCATTCAAGAAAAAAACAAAAACAACTATGGAGAAACGTAATGATTTAGCCTCTTTGATAGCAATGAGATATAAGCCAACAATAACTTTGAGCTAAAAAAAAAACAGACTAGAAACAACATATCAGTAAATTTGGTAAAACTCACAAAATGCTCTATTGGCTTCTACTTTTGATGTATATATCATACACCTCGGGCATCTCATCCTTGAAAGGCAGCACATATCTTTTTAAGAACTTTGACTCGGAACATATCACAGCGGTATAAAGGTTCAGACTACAATTTTTCGGCTCCTTTTGGCTGAGTAGCTTCAAAACATTATGTCTAGGCAGAACCCTTTTCTCCAAGCTACATGTCAAAAACGTGGGATGAGAAGCCAGGTAATGAGACTCATATCCAATTTCCTTCATTAAAAAATTCAATGCATTTCTGATCTTAGCTTCGGATTTTGTCAAACATTGAGGACATGTTTGGACCAATGTAAAAATATCCGAGTCAGACCACCCGAAGCTCCTGAAGATTTCTAATCTCTTTTTCACCGTCGATTCGTCAAGCCATGCAAGTGCATAAACCCCATGTATGAACATGTTGCAATCGCGAGAAAGAAAGAAAGTTTTTTCTACTCGATCCACTAAGTCTTTGAGGCGCTCTGCCTTTTGAGTCAAAATTCTAGGATTCCAAAGCATAAGCTTCTCTATATCAACAATTGAAAATCCAAGATTTTGCAGCAATGATATATTGGGTGGCATTACTTCATGAAATGCATAACTAAAAAATACATTAGGATGTCTCTTAATGATATTAGCAACAAAATCATCATTAAATAATAGGGTGTGAAGATAATCAACATTTTGTCTGATAGCACACCCTACCCTAGTGCTGAAATAACATCCACTGTTTGTGATGATTTTGGCAAGGTCATCCGACCCACATAACCCAACTTCTTTAAGAGCTTCAATTTTGGGCTTAAGGTATTTATCTACATCGCAAAGCAGTAATGTGGGGACTGAAGAAACAGCTTTTTTGATATGGGTCTTGTCTAAACCGATTTGTTCCAAGAAATTGAGCACAGAATTAGGGTTGTAATATCTGGGTCTCAAGCGACTTACCTTGCCACTTGTAGAAAGGGCTTCTTGTAGGGAGAAGCCAAGTGATTTCACCAGCGTTTCTACTAAGAAATTGGTGTCGGAAGTTGCGGCAGCAGCTGTTGAGTAAAAGACATGAAATCTGAAGGGATAAACGTGAAGGAGATGCTTAACGCCATTGTTGAGAAACCCAGACATCCCAACAACCAAAGTTTAGAGTTGATAAATACAGAATCCTCTATTAGCTATGATTTGATTTGGATAAGATTTGCATTAGGATCTTTTTAATTCTCATGTCTTCCATTTCAATTCTCATTCTCATGCCAAAATTGCTCAAGCGCTAAATATTCTTCAAATGCTCCCAACATTTGGCTTATTTCTGCTACGTTGACTTAGCGTCAAACTTAATTTATTTTACGCAGAAGGGCTAAAAATATATTCTAAATGTTTTACTGTCCACCTATTGATCCAAAACTATCCGTAACATTATCTTTAGTTCTAAAACTACCCGCAATTAACGGAATCATCTGTGGTCCCATCTTTTAATGTGCTATCACGATGTGATTGGGACACGTGATCAATTGGTCCATACCAATTACACCCCGCCCCATTTTTCACCTGTACCATTGTTTGACCCGCTTTATTATCTAATAATTATTATTTTTTGCTTTTTTCCTCTCTTTCTTCCTCATTGACTAGACGGGATTACACAAAAATCACAAACCAAAAATCTCGCCAGAAACCACACGTAAATTGACTCCTTGAACCCCAACTCAAAAAATTATCGATTGGTGGTGCAGAAAGTTGATTTTCAGATCTGATTTTGAAGAAAGTCGAGGCGTTTGGCCTTGGTGGTGGTGCATTTTTTTAGTAGTGTGGTGGGTGTTTTGCTGGAGGAAACTGACTAGCTTTCGTGATGGTTATGGAGTTGCTTTAATGGTTGTTTTTGAGGGTTTTAGAAGACTGAGATCTTAAGGAAAATGGGTGGCTTAGATGGCCTAAACGAGATGGTGTTTTGGAGTTGCTGCACAGTGGCGTCCAACTGCATTTTTAGGGCTCCTCCAGAATTTTTTCTGTGATTTCGCGGTTGTTATTAGGTAAAAAAGGTTTGTTTTTAGGGCTAATTTTTGAGTAGGAGGAAAGGGTAGGGTGATGGCTTTAGGATAGGAAGAATTCCAGCGGGGTGGTGGTGGGTGGTAGTTTGTGAAGTGAAAAATGAGAGGAGTGAATTGAANGGGGATGGGTGATAAGGAAGAAAAAGAAAAAAGAAATTGAGCAGGTCAAACAAATGGGGCGGAAAAAAAAATAAAGCGGGTTTACGATACCCATATTGATGAAGTGAAATTAAGAGCGACATGGCCTAATAAAATGCTGCCAACACATTAAAATTCGGCCCCACATCTGATGTCGTTAAATCGAGGGTATTTTTAGCAATAGAAATAACGGTGGGGATATTTTTGGACCAATAGGTGAACGGAACGCGCGATAGTAAACCATTTAAAATACGATAGGGGTACTTTTAGCCCTTTTCCGTTTATTTTATTTAAATTCCATGCTGGTCTAATCCAATTAAATAAATAGAAAAGGATCAAAATTGTCCCTGAACTATTGGTCAGAGCTAAATATACTCTCTATCCATCTATTAATTTTAAAAATACACCTTAAAAATATCCGATTTTCTAACTTATATTTGATGCAAGCACTAATTCGTTTGCCCGAAATTAATAGAATAATATTGGTCAGTGACTGACCTCATTAGTTATTGGAAATCCGATCCTTCACAAGAAATAAGAAACAAATTATGCATATTCATTACTCCTAATTGTCAATATTTATTTCTTGTGGATAATCTCAATTTGATGCCAACATTTTTCCTACAATGCTAGCTTTCATCGCTTTGTTCTTTCATGAAAATTGAAACTACCAAAACCTTATTTTATTTCTAATTAGAAGACCTATGAAAGAATCATGACATTAAGCATACTTCTATTTATTATGATATTTAGTTGCTTCCGTTTATAACATATTGTAATTCTATGATTTCTCCGTATGTATATAGATCTACCTATATATTCACAATATTTTGTTATATTGTTGGTAAAGGATTACAAACAAAATGAAGAAAAAAAATTAGTTTCTTTCTTCGTGATTCTTATATATTGGGGAAAAAAAAAACTAAGGTAGATTTGTTTAAGGTGAAAAAGGGTTTATGGTGGTTTGGGAATTTTTTCAGGTGGGTAAAATTATTGGGCCATTTTGAATCGATAGGTGAACGGAAGGTATATTTAGCCCCGATCAATAGTTCAGGGACAATTTTGGACTTTTTTTATTTATTTAATTGGACTGCACCAGTAATAAAATGACATGTGAAATTTAAATAAAAGTTTTTTGAATTCAGATTGATTGTTAGTCCGGGAAGAAATGAACGGAGGTGGACAGAGGATATGTTTAGCCCTTGGCCAATAGTTCAGGGGCAGTTTTGGCCCTTTCCGTTTAATTTACAGACAGTTACCGTTAGAATCAACGTCTCACGCCCAATCAGAATCACAATGCACAGAAGTCGAACCATGAAATGGAAAGAACAGACCATGAGTAGGAGTGGCTTTAAGATATCTCCAATTCTGCTTTACAGCAGCCCATGATGAATAGTAGGGTAATGCATATATTGGCTAACTTTATTAACTGAGTAAGCGGTCGTTTGGCATGAGTTATTAAAAAAAATAATGCAAGCATTAACTCTATGCATTACTAATACCTTGTTTGGTATATTTTTTCAACCTGTGTATAACTAATACTTGTATTAATTTTACATCATATTTGGTATTATCCTATGTATAAGTAATGCATAGAAAACCATGGCATTAGTAATACCAAGGCCATTAATGCATGCATTAGTATGGTTAAAGACAAAATTATCCTTAAAGTCCTTTAAAGCTAAAAAATATGGAGGGCATTTTTGTAAACAATTATTTTTATTAAAAATTATGCAATGCATTATAATTTTAATTCACCACACCAAACAGTAGATAAGAAATAATATCTACATAACTAATGCATGCTTGCATTACTAATACACTGTATTCCGCACTATTCTTTTACACCCTACCAAACGACCCCTAAGAGATATCGGGTAAAGGCAAGGTATTGCAACCCACCAACAATGCTACGAAATAAAGACGCACTATCGAGTTGTTCACTATCGCCCAACGCTAATTTTTCTTGTCGGCGAAGAAGGAGTAGAGATATCGCTACAGTTCATCATGCCACTACGACACAACAACTCTTTAATGTATTTGGACTGATAGACCAGTACGTAGACCATTTATTATAGCAACATAATTGAGAGAAGGAGCCGAATGGTGGTGGGCTTAACCACGGGACAAAAGGTGTCAGAAATGCCCAGGATGTGAGAAGAGTTGAGAACCAAGTGGCGAACGGGTGCGTAACTGGTTATAACCTTTTGCAACCAAGCGAGCCCTGTAACGCTCCACTGATCCGTCTGCAAGGAGCTTAGTCTTAAAGAGACAACCAACCACATTCTGAGACAGCACAGGAGAAACCAAGCGCCAAGTACCATTGGAGAGCAATGCATTATATCAGCAAAAATCACATCACGCCAGTGAGGAGATTTAGCAGCTTGGAGATAAATAGTAAGCTCCGGCATAGTTAAAGCAGCAAAGGACTGAATATGTTTCGGCTTAAGATTACACGTTTGAGTACGAGTGACCATAGGGTGAACTCATGGGCGCGGAGACGGAGCACGTTCCACAGAAGAGGAACTGATAGCTTCATGAGCATCCAACTCAACAGAAGACCCAAGACCCATGCCATTTAAACTCGGTATAGACATAGGAGAAGACACAGAATTACCAGGTAATGTGAAAGTAAATGCTGGAGTGGACAGTGAAGCGAGGACTGTTAGTGTCTAAGGTGGGAAGCCAGATGATGCAGTAGCCACAGATAGTATAGAAACTGTGATTATGAGAGGTAAATCAGTCGATGTCGATGGCGATGGAGAGGGCGTCACACCGCTTTGTGCCTGAAAAGGGAAAATAGATTCGTCAAATAGAACATGGCGTGAGACAAAAATTTATCAGAGGATGGATCATAGCATTTCTAACCATTGTGAGTCCTACTATAACCCAAGAAAGCACATGGTTTCGACCGAGGCTCTAATGTATTTTTTATGTAAGGACGTAGCCAAGGGAAACATAACAACCAAACACACGAAGTAAATTATAGTAAGGCTTGGTGTTAATCAAAAAGTCAAAGGGCGATAAATGATGCAAACAAGGCGTGGGAAGACAATTAATGATGTAGACGGCAGTCTCAAAGGCATTAGACCAGAAGCGAGTAGGAACAGATGCATAATGCAAGAGTGCTCGGCTTATTTCAGTAACATGGCAATGCTTTCACTCGGCACAACCAGCTTGTTGAGGTGTGTGCGGGTATGAAATACATAGGGTAATGCCAGGAGTTCTTAAATACGAAGTTAAAGCTTGGAATTCACCACTCCAATCAGCTTGTAAAGTGGTTAAAAGCAGAACTCCAACATCAAAGTCATCACCAAGTACCTGTTCACTTAAGATAGACCAAAAGGGTGGTGAGGAAGTGGGCAGACACAAAAATCATCTGCCAGAGAATCAGAAGACAAGATCAAATTAGACGCCTAAGTTAGCGTTTCCAGAAACCTCAACATAAGTAGCTTCATCTACACCAATCCATAGATTTCCTACCCAATCTCGTCAAGTACATGCTCGATTCTTACACTGATTTCCTCATTGCCCCCTCACGGAACAGAAACAGAGAAAAAGAAAACCAGTGAGCATGGAACATGGAAGGCAAAGAGCTTGAGTCTATAGAGCAAAGAAATATCCAGACGATGGTCGACTTTCAACTCACGATGATTTCTCCAGATATTGTTTAAAATAAGCTTTTTTTTCTTTTTTCTTTTGTATACTTCTGGTTCAAGAACTCGAGAACCAAAAAGGACCTTGCATCTGCGTAAAACAGACAACTCCTCCAAAGAAGTCCCATCTCCTTCTATGAGAAAAGTGCGGATAAATGAAGCTGGCATTGAGTATCCAGATTGAAATAGGCATGTGTACATTGATGTTGAAAATGTTCCAAACCATTACACCAGTAGCATTTAAAATCCTATTGACACGTTCAGCACCAAGGAATCTTCGAAGATGGGGTAAATGCTGATTATTTATGTAAAGAAGCTGCTTTTAGAGCCTACAATGCTGATTAAATTAAGCATTTGGAAACATATTTTCCGCATATATTTTTACAAAAAAGCTTTAAATTTCACTTCTTAACCAACTCTTCTTCAGCTATGTGTACTCTTATTAGTTCCTATCTTCTTGGAGTTTCGAGTTACAAAAACCATAGTATAGTATTTCTTTTATGCTAACAAGCATCCTCCTTTGGGACCGAGATGCAGTAGCAGTTGTTGTTGTTGCTGTAACAAGCATTCTCCCCTTCACCCGAGGGGGTCAAAAGATGAAAGACAGTGAAAGACAATGAAGGAAATTTAGCAGCAACACTATCCACTGATAAAAGAGAGACTTGCAAATCATCCCAAGAAAGAATATATCATTTGAATTGAGTGCTGCACGTTATGGCTTTAGCAGCACCAAACTCATAACGACCGAAAGGTGGAAATTTCAGCTACAACCAGGAAATTATCTTGATAGAGATATAAATTTATAAATCCACATAAAAAAGGGCAGCCCCACTAAGCTCCCGCTATGTGCGGGGTCCGGAGAAGGGTCTATTTTACGCAGTCTTACCCTGCATTTCTGCATTTATAAATCCACATAATAGAAGGTAAAACTGTCTTCATTCTCCACTTAGGAAAACAGCATCAAATGGCAAATAAGAATCTATTTGTCAACAGAATCTCTCCTAAGCTATGAAAGGTGAACCAGCTAACATTTCCAAGAAGAGATTTTCTTGAGAACAACATTATCCACAAAGTGGTTTCCTCGACGCATTCTATTATCTTCTACTATTCATGTATAACTCATATAGCTCAGGCATCTCATCTGTATAAGGCAGCACATAATTATTTAAAAATTTTGATTCAGGCACCGTCAGAGCACTATAAAGAATTAGGCTACTCTTTGCTAGCTTCTTCTGGTCAAGAAGTTTCAAGATTTCATGCCTAGGCAATACCCTCTTCTCCAAGCTGAATGTTAAGAGAGCGGGGCGAGAAGCCAGGTAACCGGCTCCGTACCCAAGCTCCTTCATGAAAAAATTCAATCCTTTACCAAGCCTAGCCTCTGATAAGGTCAAGCATAAAGGAAGTTTCTTCACCAGTGTAAGAATATCCAAATCGGACCACCCAAATCTCCTGAAAGTTCGTAATTTCATCTCCAAACACGATTCCCCAAGGGATGCAGTAACCATAAATCCATAGATAAACATGTTGGAGTCGCGAGGAATGTGTAAATTCCTTTCAACTCGATTCACTGCATTCTCAAGCCACTTAGTCTTTTTAAGAAGAAGAATCCTTGGATCTCGTACAATAAGCTTCTCAATATCCGTACCTGAAAACCCAAGATTTCGCAGGAAAGCTACATTTGGTGACATTACTTTAGGGGCATTATACCAAAGGATTTTAGAGTCTTTCTTAATGGCTTTAGCAAGAGAATCATCACTACCTAACAGTTGTCGGAGATAATTAATATTGCGTCTGATTGTATTTTCAAGACTTGAAAACAAGAAATCCCCAGTTTTTGAGAGGACTTTAGCTATGTCGGACCCAGATAAGCCAAGTTCTTGAAGAACTTTAATTTTGGGTTTAAGGGTTTTGTCAACATCAGAAAACAGCAAACTAGGGGTTGCACAAACAAGGGTTTTGATGTGGGTCTTGTCCAAACCAATTTGTTGGAAGAAATTTATGACTAATTGAGGCTTGTTGTTTCCAGGTTTCAAGAATGTTACCTTGGCGCTAGTAGAAATAGCTTTTTCTGTGGAGAAACCAAGTGAGTTCACTAGCATTTCCGCCAACAAATTGTTGCGGGGAGCTGCTGCAGCAGCTGCAGCTGTGGAGTAGAAAAGTTGAAACCTGAAACGATACATTGAAATTTCACCCGTGAAGATCCAAGGGGGAAATATGGCGACTGTTGCTTTTTCTCTTCAACTTTTTAAATTTCAAAGAGTCTTCCTTGGGTTTTTATCCCAATCTTCATTTGTGTTTTTGGGGTTCAAAATGTCTTTTTACCATAATAATGGAGAAATATACAAAAGCCTAATTCATTATGAAGCTTAGATCATTATTTGTTTCCGAAGAGCAATTTTAGTGGGCGTTTGGATATAAGAATTGTAGAATTCCGGAAAAAGTGAAAAAAAAATCAAGTAAAAATAGTATTTAAAAAATAGAGTTGTGTTTGGACATGAATATAATTTTGGGTTGTTTTTTATTTTTTGTGAGTGATCTGTATGAAAATTTTGAAAAACAATTTTTTGGAGTTTTTCAAATTTTCGAAAAATTCCAAAATTCATCTTCAAGTGAAATTTGAAATTTTCATGGCCAAACACTAATTTCAAAAAAAGTAAAAAATATTTCATGGCCAAACAGGCTCTTAATATCATTTGGATATGCGTCGGTCATCTGGGGGGAGCAGATTTTTACTGAATACTGCTCCATTTCTTTCTTTTCTAAGAATATACCCTTCGATCCATAATAAGTGACTTATTAGCTTTTGGGACACCCCATAAGAAAATTCAAACTCCTAGAGAAAAAAGATGTATTTACTAAATTATCCTTAATTAATTATTACCTTGACAAATTGGGATATGTAAATAAGGCAAATTTTAGAAAATAAAAGGGATAATGCATAAAATCCACCCCATCCGATGACCCATTTACCAATTACACACCTTTTCTTTTCGGGGGTCCTATTACCCTCCTGAACTTATTTTTACCATAATTGATTTAACATTATATGCTCAATTAAACCCAACCCCCATCTATAAGACGATCAGTGTATACACGCGCTAATGGGTCCCACCCAATTCCCTTTTATTTTATCAGATCCTCTTTATTCTAAACTAAATTAAACCCATTCATTAATTAAACCCTACCCTATTTCATTATTTCCTTTCATACTCTCCCATTTTCGACGGACGGTCCAAACTAAATTCTCAATCCCCCTCTTCGATTCCTTCCATAAAATCACTCCAATCATAATCACTCCAGTAGCAGCTCCACTTTCTTTTTCCTCTATGAATACTAGTAGCATCTTCCATCAAATTTAAAGACATAAGCTCTCCACAGTATTGTACAGCCACCCAGGGATTTAAAATCCAATTGGGGTGGTGATTTAGCCAAAAATCTTGAAGAATATTTGCTCAAATTTGCTCTGGACAGAAAAAGAAAGAAGCGGCCGCAGCTAAACCTCCCTCTCCTCCTTCCGTTTTCACAGCCCTTTTTCCTCATAAAAGCAGTGTTTCTATTGAGATCGAGTTCAGTTAAAGCTCCGTTTGTTGGTTGCTAGTTCTGTTCGAGTTGCTGGCGAGGTTCCGGCGCCGCTACGTTTTCTGAAAGTAAAATTATTTGCTCAAATTCAAAAGCCTTAATGTTTCTTCTTCAATTTTCCGCCTCTTTTCCATGAGAATGTAAAAATAAAGTGGTTTATTGGCTATATCGTTAGATCAATTCAAGAGTATCTTAATAATTTATTTACTGTGAATTCTCAGTTTCAACTGGTCTCTTTTATTTCATTCTTACATTCCAAATTGACATCCAAAACAACAGATACTGCAGCTTTAAGAAGCTCATATAGTTGTAAAATATATCTTTGAGATGACTGATTTAACATTTGGGACCCGCATTACACGTGGCAATTGAATAGCAGAAGGGCCTTTTAAAATTAGTCCTCACACGCTTGGAAGAGGTGTAGTCACGGTCGGGATTAATTGAGCATATAATGTTAAATCAATTATGGTAAAAATAAGTTTAGGGGAGTAATAGGACCCCCAAAAAGAAGGTGTGTAGTTGGTAAATGGGTTATAGGATATGATGGATTTTATGCATTATCCCAAAATAAAATTAATTCCTTCTTGATTATGTAAAAGAACACTTATTTTGAACCAAAATAAAAAGGCCAAAAGGTCACTTATTATGGACCGAAGGGAGTACAAAGTAGTACTCCCTCCATTTTATTTTGTGTCTCGCGTTGATTGAGCACGTGTTTTAAGAAAAGTAAAGAAGACTTTTGAATTTTATAGTCTTAAACTAAAAATATGGATAATGTACCACAATGCCCTTGAAATTTAGATATGTCACGTGGAATGTTGATGTTAAATAGTAACTAAAGGGAGTGCTCGTCCTCGTCTTCGTCTTTTATTGAGCCACCTCGACCTCGTGACGTCGACCTTTTATAACCAAATCATTGCATCTAGTCAATGACACGTGACAGCCTTCGAAAGCTTTCTTAATGTCGACTAGGTTCACATATAATAATGATAATTTTAGCCCATCAATATCCGCCTATATTATCCATTCAAAAATGGATTGCATACCTGATCCACTAAAAGCGGGTCAAATATGAATCAACCCATATTATCCGCTTAAAAAAAAATAGTTGGTACAGACTTGATTGACTTTTTGGAATTGATCCTTTGCAGATTTGCCATCTTCAGCACCTCTGTTATTGAGATTGCAAATTAAAAGGCAAAAGTCAAGCTTCCAATTTGAACTCAAGCAAGCTCAAAAGAACCATACAACAATTTCCCACTTCAACCAAGGGCAAACTTACAGCTTGTTTGGATGGTCGTTACGTATCGTATCGTATTGTTACTTTAAATATGATGTTAAGTTTTGGTTGTTACTTAAATTTTATTGTATCGTATCGTTAAATCCGTCGTTACGTAACGACGAAATGTTACATAAAATGAAATGTGCCACTTTATATAACGATCGCGATTGTTGCTTTTTCTCTTCAACTTTTTTAATTTCAAAGAGTCTTCATTGCGTTTCTATCCCAATCTCCATTTGTGTTTTGGGGGTTCAAAATGTCTTTTTACCATAATAATGGAGAAATATACAGAAGCCTAATTCATTATGAAACTTAGATCATTATTTGTTTCCAAAGAGCAATTTTAGTGGGCGTTTGGATATAAGAACTGTAAAATTCCGGAAAAAGTGGAAAAAAAATTCAAGTGAAAATGGTATTTAAAAATTAGAGTTGTGTTTGGACATGAATATAATTTTGGGTTGTTTTTTATTTTTTGTGAGTGATGTGCGTGAAACTTTTGAAAAATAGTTTTTTGGAGTTTTTCAAATTTTCGAAAAATTCCAAAATTCATGTTCAAGTGAAATTTGAAATTTTTATGGCCAAACACTGATTTCGAAAAAAGTAAAAAATATTTCATGGCCAAACAAGCTCTTAATATCATTTGGATATGCGTCGGTCATCTGGGGGGACATAACGGACAGAGGTCCAATAGAAATGGCAAGGGGCCAAAAAAACTGCAGCGAGTACGTGCCTAAGGGAGGNGGGGGGGGGGGAGATTTTTACTGAATACTATTTCTTTTTTTTTTTTTAATTTCTTTTCTAATCCCCCATGTCGAAATATAATAGAGCGCAAATAGGGTAAAAAGTTAAAAACCGTTTTTTGTTTACATATAATTGTTAAATCTCTTTGACATAAGAAAAGCTTTTTTGGTATAGAGATAAAGATGGTTCAATGAGGCATTCTTTTAAATTCTCTTCTCAAAATGCCCGACTGACCGCCACCGTACACAAACCGCTATGACAAAATCATAGCCATTGTAAACTTGAAATTATACACCAAAAGGAGCGTAGGACTGCAATTTTCATTTTTTCAGTTGCAACAGCAAGGACTCAGCAAGTTACATAGAGCTGATTGTGGCCATCTATCAAAGAACTTAAGGCAACCTGCATAACTGTTAAGAGCAGAACTCCTACACCAATAAATGGACATAAATTCATCACCAAGTACAGATACTAAGATCTAGGCACCTGTTGACTTGAGATGGAACAAAAGGGTGGTGAGAAAGAGGGCAGACATAAACGTGAGAGATGACATTGCTATTTATTTCATAGGACAAATTCATATTAAAGTTACATAACTGACATTGCTGTTTTCCAGAAACCTCAATATAAGTAGCTTTCACCTACACCTACCCATTGATTTTCTAGCCCAATCTTCTTCAAGCATATGCTCGCTTCCTATACTGAATGCCTTGAGTGACCCCTCATGGAACGGAAACCGTGAACTAGAACAGATTGGGAGAAGAAAACTATGGAACATGGAAGGCAGAAAGTTGGAGGGTATGGAGTACCCCGACCATGGCCGGCTTTCAACTCAAAGTGACCTGTTTCTCATGACATTGTTAAAATAAACATTAGGCGCATATATTCTAACAACAACAACAACAAAAAGAACAACAACAAACTCAGTGTAGTCTCACAAGTGGGGAACATATATTCTAACAAATAGCTGTTGATTTTCATTCTTAAACCAAAACTACTTCGAGCTATGTGTACAGTCCTTGGTTCCTATCTCTCCTTGACGATACAAAGTACAGAAACCTTACCACCAGTATTTCCTCTATGCTGACAAGCATTCTCCTCCGCCTACAGGGACGAGAATGGAAGAGAGTCATTTGTTTACCCAGTTAGAAATCTAAAGGTTGCTAACAACTTGTAAATTAATAACCATTACGTTCTGCACCTCTAAATCGACCAACCAAAATATAGTCATTCCAGCACACCAATATCATCAACACATGTTGAAAGAAATCTGCAACGAACCAGATATGACTCTTAGCAAGATTTTTCAGAAAGTGAAGAATATGATGAAACCAACCCATCATGAGTATTCGAGTCAAAACTCATCAAAAGACACTACACAGTAAATCAAGAACCAAGAAACACCAAAATGCCGATGAGATTATGGTTACCATCATAAAGGAATGTTCATGCATATCAAAAGAATAGATCTTCTAGTAACGAAATGAATATGTTACTGATGTTACACAAGAAAATGAAGGTCCTGAGGAGTCTTTTGAGAACCTATAACATAGAGGGTCAACTGCATCATGAGGCAATATAATGATTAAAAAAATCCCTATAATCAACTAAGTAAAATTATGAGATATTACTTGGCTGATATGGATTAAGCATAATCTAACATATGCGCAAGATAGCTACTTAAGTAAATAACTGGAGAAGCAAACTCTGAAATAAATTTCTGGGGAAAAACAACAAACAATATAATGAGAGTGCTACATTTTAAGAGTGATAACCTTACAGCAGATTAAAAGATGGCGAGATCATTTATCTATGTGCCATGACATTAGAGGAGATGGAGATCCGAGATCCAATACTAAAGTCAATCAAGTTGCAGTTCTGCAGTAACTAGTGATATTTTTTACTTATTAGTACTTTTTCTTTTACATTACAAGGAGAAAAAAACTATGATAGGGCGCTGGGTTTGAACCAAATATAACAAAGAACTAATAAAGTGACAAACCTAATATTTAGAGAAGTAGTTTCCATCTTATTATAGATTCACGGAAATACTTTAAACAGCTCTCAAATTATACATTTGAAAAGGAAACATTTTAAAAATCAGTTGATCACCTTTTGTTTGTGCAGGTGAAGGGAAGCGCAGCTACTGTGAGACCTTGTAAAATAAAATATGGAGAGTTTTCTCTGTCATAAAACATAAGTTGTTCAATGAACTCTTTCTTTCATCAGAGGAGGTCTAATCTCTTTTTATCTACGGCAGACAAACACCAGCTTCCAATCAATATGGTGCTTTGCTGTTTTTGAGTTAACTAATGCCTTAACGGAACAGTGCATCCAGTGACAGTTTACGCAATGGTATTTAACCAAGTAAAAGATGGAGAGGTGTGAAATAAAATATTTGAAGTTTTCTCAACAAAATAGATGCTCTACAGGTTTATAAAAGACAGCGAACACAGAAAGGTAAGAAAGATGTTTTGAAAACAAGTGCCGTCACAATGAGGAAAAATAAATCTCATTATGTTGAGACTGTTATAGTTGAATATAACTGCTCTTTTTTCTCCCTCTCACTCGTCCTCGGGTGCCTTTTTCCTTCCTCATTTTTCTGTTAAAGTAATAATTTATCCTGCGATCCAAGCTTAACCAGGCTAATGTAAGAGATCTAAAACAATCTCTTCTGAAGTATTTGCTCACCTCCCCTGGTTTATGTATTAGTGTCTTAAGGAGAAATTATACCTCATGATCAATAGTAAACGAGAATTACCCTCATTAAGACATGCATTCAGATCATTGATGTTCCAAACAGCAAAAGGGTTATCACTTTTCTGTTATCAAACCAAAATAGATTACACGATTTGGGAATGATAATGTCCTCAATCACCAGTTTCATCAATGAATGTTGGCACAATAGCAGCCAGAATTACAATTAAAACTAACACTATTCATAAACCAAGAAATCCTTGTATGAGAAAACAATTAACTTACTATCTTAGTTTCGACCTTTGATGTAAAAATCATATACCTCAGGCATCTCATCCCTTAAGGGCAGGACATAATTTTCTAAAAATTCCGACTCAGAACACTTGATAACCGTATAAAAACATGGCACTTTCTTTATCAGTTGCTTCTCCTTTAGAAGTTCCAAGATTTTATTCCTTGGCAAGACCCGCTTCTCAAAACTGAACATTAAGAGTGTGGGATGAGAAGCTATGTAACTAGATTCGTACCCAAGCTCCTCCATGTAAAATTTCAATATATTTCTAAGCTTAACCTCGGACGTAGTCAAACATAAAGGAAGCCTTTGCACCATCGTAATAATATCAGATTCAGACCAGCCAAAACTCCTGAAAATTTCAAGTTTCATTTCCAAATTCGACTTACTAAGCGACGAAAGCATTTCCACTCCATAGAAAAACATCCGAGAATCCCTAGAAATGCAAAAATCCTTTTCCACTCTTTGCACAATATCCTCAAGCCATTCAGTTTTTTGAACAAAAATTCTCGGATTCCTAAGAATAAGCTTTCGAATATCCAAAGTCGAACATCCAAGATTTTGCAGGAATAATATATTAGGTGACATTACCCTCTGGAGAGGATAGCTAAGCAATCCAGGCGTTCTCGTAATAGCCTTAGCTACATAACCATCAGTTCCCAATAATTTCCTAAGATATTCAATACTTGGTTTAATGCCTGTATTCAGGCCTGTTCTGAGAAAAGCCCCACTTCTTGAAAGGACCCTAACTAAATGGGGCCCAGAAAAGCCAAGTTCTTGAAAAACCTTAATTTTGGGTTTAAGGGTTTTGTCCACGTCAGCAAACAACAACCTAGGTGCAGGAGAGACCAACATTTTGATCTGGGCATTGTCTAAACCGATTTGTTTGAAGTAATTAACAACTAATTCAGGTTTGTGGTTATTTCTGGGTTTCAAGCAAGTTACCTTGGAGCTAGCAGAAATAGCTTTTTCTGTGGAGAAACCCAGTGAATTCACCAGAAATTCTGACAGTAAGTTGGGCTCTGCATTTGCTGTAGTTGTTGTGGAACAAAAGAGCTTTAGTCTGATAAAATACAAATGTCTAGTTGCACCATTGTTACCAAGTCCAAACATCTGAATAAAAAAGCTGTTCAGTTTCGGTATTTTGGAAATGCAATTTACCCGTTTATTCCACTGAAATGGAAGAAAATGGAAAGGGGAAAAGGAAAACCCTAATCCTATTTAGCGAAGCCGACGGGAAGGGGAACTGGGGGTGGAGTTCGCGGTTTCTATTTTGTTGGTCAAAGGGTGCTTTTTTTTTTTTCTCAATCCGTTTCAATTTACGTGAACCTGTTTGATTGAGCATGAAATTTAAGAAAAAATGAAGGCTTTTGAAATTTGTGGTCCTAAACAAGTCAAAAAGGAATCCACAATATTTGTGTGGTTATAAAAGCTTCTCATTAAGGATAGAATTGGAAATTTAAGCTAAATCGTTTCCAAATTTAGAAAAAGGTCATTCTTTTTTGAACGAACCAAAAAAGAAATAGGTTCACATAAACTGGAACGGAGGGAGTATATATTAATTAAACATATGCGTACAGAAATGTTGGTGTCTAAGTTACACCATATTACAAACTAAGTCATTCGTAGTAGTAGTAGTTACCATATTACAAAGTAAGTCATTACTATTAGTTGCTATATTATTTGCAGTATCCCTAATGGATCTATTACTACAACAACAAAAGAAATTGGGGATTATGTTGTAGTTGTTCCTTCCATGCACTGTAGGCTCTTCATCTAGCAAATCACCTGCAGTTAGTGGTAGTGAATGTGTATCCGACAGACTTTACTTATCATCTTCCCAAATTTTTCCAACAAAAAGTGATGCCTGGTCCAAAACGTGCATTGTATAGGTCCCTTCCAAAAAATTTTCCGATTTTGCTAGTTGATTTGCTAATCTATTTTGTTTTCTATACGCATGGCTAACTATTGGATCATGAAGCGTCCACAACAGCTGCCTGCAATCAGTTAATAGATTAGCAAAGTTTAAATTGTCGCCGTGCAATAGTGTAATTACCTCTTTGATGTCAGTTTCCACGTGGATTGGCACTAGGCTATGAAGTTTAGCCAATGTAAGCCCATGTAGTAATGCATATATTTCTGTTGTAATAATAGATTGATGGGGTATATTTCCTGAAAACCCTATATTCCAGTCCCCATTGTGATTTCTAGTTAGTCCTCCAATGCCATTTTTATTTATAGTTGACTAGTATGACCATCCGTATTCAGTTTATATATGTTAGGTTTTGGTCGTATCCATTTTAGAGGAACCTTTATACGGCGTTGTATTTTATGATTTGAAGCTGCTAGATAACATAATTTAGTAGCTTATTGTGTAATAAAATTGATGCCAACAGGTTTATGTAATCGTTCATAAATATTTTTATTTCTAGTGGTCCAAATGCCCCATAAGCTTAATGGCAAATAATTATGTGGATATATATTATATAAGGAATTTTTGTTGTTTGTAGCTAATTAAAGGACATAGCCATTCTTGTGGACCACTAAAATTAATTAAAGTATTTATATGTCGTCCCATTCCCAGGTTATTCCAGTATATTTGTGCATTTACACAAGTTAAAAATATATGATTTGTCGACTCATCAGCTTCATGACAGTAAGGACCTTCCGCATTTGTGATAATGTTAAGATGCTATAGAAATTAAAATGTTGACAGTCTATTATGGTTAAGTAACTAAATGAAGTACTTAATTTTGGAATGTATAGAAAGGTTCCATATCCATCTGAATTTGTACATTGTGTTATGGCCGTTATTGTAATTATTCTCCAAGGCTTTGTACATTGATTTGACCGTAAATTTACCATTAATAGTTAAACCCCAGTAAATTCTATCAGATTTATTATTATATGCAGAAATGTAAGGTGTTCTTATAAGGTTTTTTATATCATCCGTAAGTTCAAATGGCAATAAGTCACATTTCCAACCATTAGAATCATGTATGCAGTTAATTTTTATTGTTTGATGTTCCAAAGGTATTGGGCCACTTATTAGTGAACGAATAGTTCTCCTATTTTTTACCCAACAATCATTCCAAAAATTAATGTGTGCACCTGTTCCTATTTACCATTGTAAACCTATTAGGTAGTGTTCCCAACCCTTTAGTATGTTACGCCAAGTTGTGAAATAATATGTAGACGATGAAATATGTAGGAATTTATTAACTAATATCTTAGCCCAAACATTTTGGGGTGAATGAAAGACTCTCCAAGCTAGGCTTGCTAGTAATGCATTGTTTTTTTTTGGCGAAGGCATTGGATTTCTAAGCCTCCTATTTCTCGAGGTGTAGTAATTTTCTTCCATTTTAAAAGATGCAGTTTCTTTCTTGTTGTGGTTGTTCCCCATAGAAAATTACGTTGGTACTGTTCCATTTTATCAAGAATGGTTGTTGGAATGTGAATATATTGCATAATATGATTTGGCAGATTGTTGAGAGTTGATTTAATTAGAGTAGCCCGTCCCGCCATAGCTAGGAAGTTTGTTTTCCATCCTGCTAGTCTAGATTTGAAGTTATCTAATAAGAATTGAAAGTCTGCCTTTTTTTGGCGTGATTGGAAAATTGAAAATCTTAAGTACTTACCAAAATTGTTCCCTTCTTTGATTTGGAAGTAATTCAGAACCAAGTTCTTATCATTTGTTGTACAATTCTTTGAGAAAAATAATTTTGATTTTTCAAAATTTATTCGTTGTCCTGAATACTTGCTGAAATGATTTATCACATCTATTAGAGCATTGCAATTTTTAGTAGTTATTTTGGAGAAAAGCATGATATCATCTGCAAAAAAAAAAGGTGTGAGAGTTTCGGTCCTTTTTTTGCAATATTGATTGCCATTGTAAATAATCAACAAATAAGGTAATGCATCGTGAAAATATTTCCATAAACATAATGAATAAGTATGGTGACAAAGGTCACCTTGGCGAATCCCTCTTGAAAGTGTGAAATAAGGAGTACGTGAACCATTAATGAGAATATAAGTGGAAGTATTAGTAACACATGACATGATTAACTTAATCATAGATGTAGGGATGCCAAAGTAGATAAGTGTTTTCCTAATAAACGACCATTCCAGTCGATCAAAGGTCTTTTCAAGGTCCAATTTTAGAAGCACGTAACCAACCTTTCTTTTCCTTTTTGCAAAATGATTTAAAGCTTCTTGAACTATTATGGCATTATCAGAAGCTCGTTTACCCTGTTGAAAGCTGGTTTGTGTTGGCCCTATTATTGTCGAAATAATAGGCTTAAGCCTATTGACTATAATTTTTGTTATAATTTTATAAGTGGTGTTACAAAGACTTATTGGTCTATATTGTTGGAGGTCTGGGCATGCCTTACTTTTGGTATAAGGCATGTATAAGTTTGATTTAGTAAGGGAGGTATAAGCCTATTATTAAAAATTTCATGACAAAAGTTTTACCTTGCTACCTACATCAGGCCAGTATTTTTGATAAAAAAAATGGGTGAAACCCATCTGGACCAGGTGCTTTATAAAGACTAAAAATATATAGAGTTTGAGTGATTTTATTGTCCTTGAGAGGTTCATCTAAAGCTTGTAAATACTTAAAATTTAGTAGACATGTATCTATTTCAGTGATAATATGAGCTGAGTGATCTTGTTCTGTAGTGAAAAGATTCAAGTAGTAATTTAGTATAAGTTCTTGAATTTCATTATGGTCATAACTCCAATTATCTACTGAATCTTTTAGTGAAGTTATCCTATTTCTCCTACGTCTATGCAAGGTAAACATGTGGAAGAATTTTGTGTTAGTATCTCCTTAATTTAGCCACATTAATCTTGATTTTAACTTCCAAAAGTCTTCCTCTATTATAAGAATGCTACTAAAATCATTAGTCAGTTGTGTTTTCAAATTTTGTAGAAAAAAATTAGTAGGATAATATATCGAAGACTGTATTCCAGCTAACCTAACTAATATTTTCCTTTTACGAGTAAAAATTTTCCAAATATTAAATGATTCCAGTTTGTGACTACTTCCTGAAAATTTTTAGTTGTTTCCATGAGTGGTTGAGTCTCAGCCCATGTTTGGTGTATTAATTGAGGAAATTGTGGATGTGACAACCCACATAGTTTCAAATATTTTTTTTAATAATATGTCTTTTGGTCTCTAAAGTTATTAGGAGAGGACAATTGTCAGAATATGTTCTAGATATGTGTTGCATTATAGCCTCGGGGTACATATTTAGCCAATTATAGTTTGCCAAAAAACGATCAAGTCTTTCAAGAATTGTATGACCATTTCTACGTTTATTAGTCCACGTAAAACGACTACTCCTAAAACCTAAGTCAATTAACTTGCAATAATTAATGCAATTTGGAAATTTATCTACTCTATTAACACAAATAGGTAACCTTCCAAATTTTTCTCGTGAATATAATATCTCATTGAAGTTACCCCATATTAGCCAAGGAAATTAAAAGTGTCATGCAGATTCATTAAGCTTTCCCAAAGATTATAACATAATTGATAAGAATTGCTAGCATATACTGCAAATAGAAGCCATTTAGGTTTAGTGGGACATACGTGGACAAGGCAGTGGATTTATTGTTCAGACATCCTCAGTTCCTCCACAATAATTAGAGCTTCATACCATAGCACAACCAAACCTCTTATGAGTCCATTAGCTAACACCTGGGTCATGTTAGTGAAATTGAAAATGTCTCACGAAGCCTCTCATGATCTTGGATGTGTGTTAATAGAAGGATTGCTAGAACTGGTCTATGGTTATCTAACAAAGATATGAAATAACGTCTAAACTTTGGATTGTGAGAACCCTTATAATTCCAAACTAGAAGATTCATAATACTAGAGAGGGGTGTTGTGACTGGTGTACTTGGGATCAGAGGATTGACAACAGATGTTGTCATCTGATCCTGATGATCCATGACTGGAGGAGGTTTACGAAGTGTCAGAATGATCACCATTGAGTACTTTTCTACCTCTCGATTTGTTGTGACTCGAAAGTTTAGGCTGCATATGATCATTTCTGGAGGACATTTCAGAATGAACTTTTTTTTGTACTGTTCCTTGAGGTTGTAGAGCTGGATTCCTTTTAGCCATAAGAATTCCGTCCTTGTCTCCCTTAATTCCGCTAGAATCTAAGCTAATTCCTGCCTTGTTTCTATATTTAGTGCATTTGGAGATAAAGGTAGAGTCTGTGGGGGACTTTCTTGTGGTGTTAGTGTTTCGAATGATTTGATGCGATTAAA